GCACTGTCATCCCCAGAGTACCTTGAGCATCACTGTACTTTGAAAGCTCAGGAGCCCTGGGAAAGGAGAAGGTCAAGAGATCACACATGAACAAGACACAAAGCTGTGCAAGTCTCACAGCCAGCTCTGTTTGAGACTGCAGGGTGCCCCCTGCACCACGGGCAAGTGAAGGTGCTCACACTGACAGCTACTGCTTGTACTGCCTGCATGCTCTGTTCCATGCCCCAGGAGTTCCTTACTGCCTGCAGGGCTCTCAGAGTGTGAGGGTGCTTGGAGGAGCAGCTGTGCTTTCTTCAGAGACCAGAGGTGTCACAGGCTGTGGGGTGTGTGCCTGCCAGCTTGGACACCCTGCTGGGTAATGAACTCTGCAGGCACACAGTGCTTTTCCCTCAGTGTGTGTGAGCAAACAGCAGCAGAATTGGGGTAGAAACAGCAAAATCAGTTGTTATTCCATAAGGTGCTAACATGGAAATAATCAACATCAACAGCAGCTGTGTGCCACTGACTTCAGACCTCTGGGCACAGACTGTCCCTTATGCCAGCACATGGAGCCCTTGTCCTGCTGCCAGGGATGGTGCTGAAGAAGTGTTGGAGCCCCCCAGGTCTCACATGCTCTCCTGGGGCTCAGCAGGGCTGTCCTGCTGGCAGTTCAGGCACTTTCCTGGGGTATAGCCACGATGATCCATGCCATGGTGAGGGGACAGCAGGGACACCTGTCATCACAGCTGAACAATGCTAAGAGGTTGATGGCTCAGGATCAATAAAAGCCAAGAAGTTATTATTTAAAACTTCCCAGAAAATCTGTGTATCACATGTACATGTACTCCTGTGATGAGCAGCTGAGAACTCTGGGCTTGTCCAGTTTGGAGGGAGGGAGGCTGAGGGGTGACCTCATTGCACTCTGCACTCTCCCTCCTGTGAGGACACACGGAGAGGGAAGTGCTGAGCTTTTCTCCCCAGGATCCAGACAGCAGGCATGGGAAAGACTCAGTGCTGCACCGGGGAGGTTTATACAGAACATCAGGGAGCATTTTTTGTGGAAAGCCTAGAACAGGCTTCTTGGAGAGGCAGTCATACCCCAGGCCTGGCAGTGCTTGAGGCATTTGGACAGTGCCTTCAACAACGGGCGGTGACCCCGTCAGCCCTGAGTTGCTCAGATAGCTATTATGGGTCCTTTTCCACTGAAATATTCCGTCCCATCCCATCCCATTCCCGTCCTGTCCCGTCCCGTCCCATCCCATCCCGTCCTGTTCCGTCCCATCCCATCCCATTCCATTCCGCCCCCCCGGAGCGGCACGGGCCGCCCTATGGCGCCACCTGCTGGCGGACCCCGCTCACCTCCGCTGTCCTCGAACGCTGCGGGGCCCGTTCTGTGTAATATCTGGAAAACATCAGGGAACATCCTAAAGCGCACACAGAACGAAACCGGACTGGCACCCAGTGTAACATCTCCGCTGGGCCTTAAACCAAGGCATCGGGAGTGCCTGGGGCTCGGCAGAGCTGAGCCAACTCCGCCTGTCCAGCCCGCTGAACCGCGGGGCTGCCTGCAGTGAGCTGGAGCAGAAATGGGGAGGTAACTCCTAAAAGAGGTCACAGAGACACAAAGCGACAGAGACCTCAGAGAACAACCCAAACCCCGCAGCCAACCACCGTGCAAGCAGCAGCTCCATCTAACCATTCCCTGCCGACTGGAGAGCCCAAAGATAAAGGAAGGTGGGACAGACAGCTTCTAGTACTGTTTGCCTCGTACCACAGCTGGTAAACGGCACCTGGTCAGTGCAAGCAGAAGCACAAACAGGAGCTTTGCATCCTCAGGCTGCAGCTCCTTGAGCTCAGCCAACCCCCAAGCTGCATAGCCATGAGCAATGCAAATAAACTGTTGAACAGAGCAGCCTCTACCCAGCCATTTTTGAACACTTCCCTGCTAGCTTTTTTAGTGGGCTCAGCTGGGTTTGCTTTAGGTGAAAATGCTGCCATCTGCTACAATTATGTAATTAACCTTCATAGTTCAGACTTAATGATGCTCATTAAGGTTGAGTGTTTTTATTGGCTAACTGCTGCCACCAGTTTTGCATGGAACTGCAAAGGCAACTCTTAGGAGCCATAGTTTGAAGCATAATTAGCAATATGTGAGTGTTGCACAGGGGCATGGGCGAGGGAAGGCAGAGGACTAGGGGGGAGCTTTATTTTATTCTATGCTGAGGCTGGAATGCAATGAACAGCAGAAGTCTGTTGCTGCTGGGTCACTAATATTAAATAATCATCTACAGCAGTGTGGCAGCATATATGGAGTGCATGTGTGTCAGGAAATCACAAGATCCCTTCCATCCACAGTTGGCTGTGACTTCCATTTCCTCAGCCCTACCTCCTCCAGCTCCATTCCCAGTATTTCTTCATTTATTCTAACAGTAATTAATGAGTGTGATTTTGCTGCAGGTCTTTATCAAACAGTTAAAAAATGTACCAAATAAAGATTTTAATTAAGGAAAATGCCCAGGATAAAAAACTATGTGACTTAATTTGCCTGTGCATGTAAGACTCCTAAAATACTAGGCTGTGATGCCATAAAAATTGGTAACTAGTGTAAATACCACCTTTAACTACAGCTGTTCTTTGACTTTGTCCAAGTGGAATGTCTGTAGTTCCCCCATCATTTCCTGTGCACACTGAAGGTTGGACTCAATACCTCAAATACACAGAGAAATAATCTGCATCACAAGGTGTTACAATCTTCCATAACCCAACAATTTATTTAAACTTACATCACAATGAGAATCTAATAATAAAATACATCAGTTCACACGAGTCTGCATTGCCATTTTTAAAGGGTAAGCATCTTTCTTCACTTTATATTAAAATTTTCTGGAGGTAAAAACTACTGCATTGTACCCACAGTTCTTGAAATCGATTGTAACATTAGGCAGGTTACAAAGGAACTTTCAGAGCTAATTACACTTCAGTTAACCACACATTTTTGGCACATCTGAATGCTTTTTTTATTTTCTTAAAATAATTCTATAGCAAGTCAGAGAATCATGGACATAAAGCATCACTCTCCAGTGGCAGGTGCTGCCTAAAAGCATACAAAAATTGCATCATTTGGTTACAAAATAGATATTTTCTTAGTTCTTTATCCTGACACTTAACACCGAAGTGCCGTGACAGAGAAGGGCTAAGAACAGGGCCGGCCTTGCTGAGTTGTTGCTGGTCCCTTTGCTGCAAGGCTTGGCTTAAGTAAATCCCAGAGAGATGTGTTAACAAGATGTTGATGGCTTTTGCCTTGCCAGGCCTTTGCTTTCAGAGCAGGTGTGAGGCCACCCGCGAATGTCACCCTGTTTGTCACCGTGCTGCTGCAAGGGCGACAGAGAGGGCACAGCTCTGGACAGGTTCAAGAGGGGCCGTGTTCCTGCAGGCCTGGGCAGTCCAGAGTGGCTACAACAAATCTGAGCCACTGCCAGGCTGGATTTCTTCTGCCTGACACCACAGCAGCTGCTTCTTCAGGAATTCAAATGTTTTTAAGCAGGAATGAATCATTAATGGTAGTAGTGTGCCAGGCACGTATTTGTACAAGTGTTTGCAGACACTCACATGAATTTTTAAAACATGTGGGTTGTGGTTTAGGTGATTTTTGTCCTACATCACAAACCCCAGCTGCTATGAGCTGCTGATGTTATGTTAAAAATAAAAAGCAGTCCACAGTACTTGCAACCAGGGTTAGTTTTTCCCTGGCTTTTGAGCTGTACTGTATCAATCAGAGTCTGGCACATTAAGTAGTGATTGTTTTATGTGTCACTGATTGTCAGCTCCATGTACTGATATTTATTTTGATGATTTTTTTGAGATGCCTGTTAAATTGGTTATGTCCCTTCTGCTCACATTGTTCTGGTCATAAGAGAGAAATATGAATGAACTGCTGCAGTTAAGGAGAGACTGACATAGCAGAAGCACAACAAGCATCTTACAGCTTTCTGGCTGTATTATAGCTAGATGGTCTCTCTGCTTTAGTGGGAAATAAACCCTGTCATGGCAGGGCTGCATTCTTCCAAAGCCCAAATCAAAGCTGTCCCATTTTCTTGATTCAACTTTCCTACTCATCCTTTGCTGACTCCCCTGATCTGAAAGCCTTTTGGTGAGACCAGTGAGCGTTCCCAGAAGGACTTTATGGCTGCTAGGAAGCATCTCTGACTACTTTCCTCAGAGACAGAGAACTTAAAGAAAGGATCATAATACTTACTCCATTAGAGAAAGAAAGAAACTATACAGGTAATAGAACAGTTGTTGATGGGCAGGTTTGAAACTTACAGTAAGAGAAAATTCAAGGTATCCATGGTGCTCTTTGCATGTAGGTCCTGACCCTGAAAGGCAGCCCTGACAAAAACCCTTCAAAAATCAAACTCACTCCCAGAGTCAATTTTTTCCTCACATCCACACTGAGAATTCATCCCTGCACTGATTTCCAATTCCTACTCAGCAGTTGCTCTGAACACAGCTCAGGTGAGTGGGGGTCCTTGGGGAGGCACGAGTGCAGGTGGAGGAGCTTTGGTGAGCAGGTCAGGCTGCACTGGGCAGAGCTGTGACACCTCTCCCTGCAGGACAGGTGCCAGCTGAACACCTTCACATGGATTTAGTGCAACTTCTGCTCGCCTGGAGAGCCGTGGAGAGGCAGGCAGCTGCTCAGAGCCAGCATGAGGCTGAGCAGCAGCCACGGCCCAGCTCACACCCTGGCTCAAGTGACAGTGGCAGTAAAAGCTGATAGGTTGCAGGTGCCTTCTGGCACCTGCAGTATTTTCATGCTCTTTACAACCTTTGCAAGTTAAAGTGTCAAGGTGTGATAAACTATGTAGCAGTGCATTCCTTACATTTCATATACAAAAAAGGGCTCAAGACTGGGAGCAAGAAGGCACAAACTTGGGAAATAACATAGCTGAGGAGTTTACACAAAAGTACTATGTCATTTATTAGGCATCACTTAGCACTTATTTCACATTTTTGCCCCCAAATTACCCAAAGCAACATAAATTTCTCCACTTCCTTTCCCTTTGCACCCTTCTTTTGGATAAAGCTGCCTGTGCTCTATAGATACAGTTGCCGCAGAATATAACATGAACACAGATAAATACAACATACACAGCAAAAAATGTATTATTATAGTATTACAATAGTCAAATAATGTAATTAGCCTCAAGCTATGGCAGTGCCTGTGTGCTCCAGGGAACGAGTTCATGGACAGCAAGCGGGGCCACTGTACAGGAGCAATGTTGGCAGTGTTGGGAAGAGAAGGGGCTGAGGAGGCTCTTCAGGTGCCTGGATGCAGTCAGTCACGGGGATCTGCTCACCTGGAACTCCCAGCCAGGGCCTTGGAGCTTTCTTCAGCCCAAATCAGTCTGGCAGTGGGTCCTTGGAACACCTTTACGTCTGTTCATTGTGCATACACATAAAGTCACCCCACATTTCTCCTGTTAGGCTATGTTTTCTTTATATATATAATTTTTTTTTAACCTTTTAGCTTTTGAAATTTTTTTTCTTACAACTGTTAAAAAAGTTTCATGGTAAAAATAGCTCACTATATGATACATATACCCAAAGTGGTGCGATACTTTATATAATAAAAGATGAAAATAGTCACTTTCCATAATAAAAATAAGTTCTATTTTTTGCTTATTTTACAATATACTTAATAATTCTTTTCTTCTTCTTCACTCTGCAAGTAAACAGGTCCCGTTTCCATAACGCTTCTGAGTCGATTAAAGTGGCGAGAGACCCAAGGATGGCTTACGAGCACTTTGAGCAGCCGCACTCCACGTGTCTCTCCAGTTCCTCCGTGAAGGTGGAGCCATCCAGGCACTGGAAGAAGTATTTCCTCCTCTTGCTGCGCAGGGGCACGCAGCAGTGCCCGCTGCCGCCGCCGCAGCCCCCGCGGCACTCCAGCCGCGGCACCTTGGAGGCCGTGGCGCACGAGGTGTAGCCCTGCTGCTTGCGCACCACCTCCCGGATGACGTCTCCTTGGCACAGGCTCTCTGCTGGGACAACAGGGGGGCAAGGAGTCAGAAATGGGGTAACTCTTCTGGTTGTGGTAACGTGGTAACTTGGCTGGCCACGGGGAGCAATGCACAGCTTTCCCCAGGTATTGTGCTGGGGAAGGCTGTGAGAAGATCAGAGAGAAGAATGATCATTCTTATCCTCACTTGCTGCACCTGTGGTTGTGAACATGTGGCATGTGTTATAGAGATTTGTTTACCAAAGGGTGGTTTCTTAATTGGCCAATGGTGATGCTGATAGATTGAAAGACCAATTGGGTTCCCCTGTGTTGTGACTGTCTGTCAGGGCGATGGGTTTCTTAAGTATAGGATAATAAAAAGATGGATCAGCCTTCTGAGAATCATGGAGTCAATGCTAATTATTACCCAGGTGAGGATGCCCAGCTATGACAGTAACTATTGGCCACAGGGAGCAATGCACAGCTTTCCCCAGGTATTGTCCTGGGGAAGGCTGTGAGAACATCAGAGAGAAGAATGATCATTCTTATCCTCACTTGCTGCACCTGTTGTTGTGAACATGTGGAATGTGTTATGGAGATTTGTTTACCAAAGGGTGGTTTCTTAATTGGCCAATGGTGATGCTGATAGATTGAAGGACCAATTGGGTCCACCTGTGTCGTGACTGTCTGTAAGGACCACTTGTGCAGCACTTCCCAAATGATGTCTCCTTGGCACAGGTTCTCTGCTGGGACAACAGGGGTAGCAAGGAGTCAGAAAGGCGGTGACTTGTGGCAGCAGCTCTCTGGTCACAGGGAGCAATGCACAGCTTTCCCCAGGTATTGTCCTGGGGAAGGCTGTGAGAAGATCAGAGAGAAGAATGATCATTCTTATCTTCATATGCTGCACCTGCTGTTGTGCACATGTGGAATGTGTTATGGAGATCTGTTTACCAAAGGGTGATCTGGTAAACAAATCTTTCTTAATTGGCCAATGGTGATGATGTTTTAATTAAAGGACCAATTGGGTCCACCTGTGTCATGACTGTCTGTAAGGGAGATGGGTTTCTCAGCAAGTATAGTATAATAAAGAGATGGATCAGCCTTCTGAGAATCATGGAGTCAATGCTAATTATTATCCATGTCAATGGATAGCCCACCTGTACAGATCTGCCACCACACAGGATGAGCCCACCTGTACAGATCTGCCAGCTATCAGCACTCACTGGCTGAAGGCAGTGCAAGCCAGGGCCCAAAAACTGGAGGTGATATGAATGGACTAAAATCACAACCAGGGAATTTGCATGCTCTAAAAAGGAGGATCCAAGGAGGAGCCAGGCTAAACAATTCTTGGAACATGTAAACTAGTTGGGAAAAGTTTACTTTGCATAAGAGTCTATGAATATGCTGATGTAAGGGAAAAGGTGTTTAAGGGGTATCCCCACAGATAACAGTGTGCTCATAGCTGAGTGCCAAGCTGCACCTGGCTGTAGCAACCTTTGCTCTATGGTCCTTGTCTCCTATTGTCCTTTATTAAACTTTTAAAATGTTCACAGGAGAGTGAATGTGTTTTTCACACTGGATATTCCCCCATACATCAGTGAGCAGCCCTGGGTTCATGATGTGATTCAAGACAAACAGATGGAATGAGAAGAACCTTAATCTTTTACTGCTTTGTACCTGCCACCAAAACAGAGCATGTCTACACAAATGTGTAATATCCTGTGCAAGGCTGGGGCCAAGCAGGCCTGCTGGCTTTGATCAGCAGCCTGGAAGTGTTTTAATGAGTGCTGAGTGTTGAGTCCTGCAACACTCCTGCAAAATAAGAATTAGTTTTACCATGTCTGCTTCTCTGGAGCAAAGGTCAGCCTGCTCTGTGTGACACTAGTGGTCTGGGATACCTGGAAGTGTCTGTGCTGTTCTGCAGTCCCTGTGAAGCAGCCAGATACATTTGATGATGGGCACGTGTAAAATTTGGAAAGTCTGTGGTTCATGCACAGGAAAGGGACAACGGAAAAAAAATAATATAATCCAGCTCCTTCCTTCTGGACAAGAACAAAAAAAGGCAGAAAGAATGCAGTTAAAACTCAGTGAGTTTCCAGGGAGTCTTTTCAGGTCAGGCAGAAGAGTTGGGCCTCTGCCCTCGTAGGAAAGTCCAGCATGATCTGTGGGATTCCCCTGGAAACCTGCCCAAGCTGAAGGAGGAGAATCTTTCATGCCACTTCAGGTGAGTGGTTCCTCTTGCAAGACCTCCTTTCCCAGCAGTGCAAATCCCTGCTTGCTGAGGGTACACCTCACAACAAGCTCTTTAAACATCCACCCAAATCCTGGGAGCAGCAAAGGATTCAGGAGACAGAGAATAAAACATGTTCACTCCATGTACCCATTTCTCTATGTGATAGCAGCTACCTACTGTTATATGACTCTGTTCTCCTTGTACTGCTCTGCAGAGGCTGGCTTAACTTAATCTTCTATTTGCCATTCCTCCCCACGTCGGAGTGGCAGGGAAGAGAGGAGTAAAGCAGGTGTAAATGAGGTGTAAAGCAGGAATGCAGCAGCACAAGCCTACCTCTGTCACAGAGCTCTCCGCTGTAGCCCGGGTCACATTCACAGTAGGGCTCCCCGTGCTCCGAGACCTTGCACTGCCCGTGGCTGCATTTCAAAGTCCTGCAGGGGTTTGAGGAATTGTTCTTCTTGTCACAGTAGAGGCCCGTGTAGCCCTCCATGCACTTACAGGTGTAAGCAGCACCAGCAGCTGTGCACTTGCCATGCAGACACCTGGAGAAACAGAAGCATTTAGAGCTGGTCTTTGCTGGATGTGAAAGTTCCTTTTCCCAGAAATGTTTGATTTTAGCATTTCTGCCCATTTAATTCCAGGATACTAATCCAAAAACAGCAGCTCAGTGTCAAACACTCTGGAGAAAACCGTGTGGGTTTTCAGTGAATACTGGATAACATTCAGAGAATACATTTAGAATTTGTGAACCTAGAGTAGAAAACATTCAGCTCTTCATGAGCACAGACCAAGGCTTGGCACCCACATGAGACAGCTCACATTTACAGCAGCAGCACGTGCAACTAAGTGCCAACAATCAAGCTGCATGCCCAGGCTTCCTGAGCAGAGTCGCTGCACAAATAATATCAGGTGATGAAAACCAGTGTGATAAATGAAGGTGCTGGTGGCAAAGCTATGCACAGACTTATCAGCAGGCAGCTGTACTTGAGGGTTCCCTGGCTCCTGGGGTTTGCAGCGAGCTTTGGCATTTCCAGGGAACACCACAGGGTGGGGTGGTGATCCTGAGCAAGTTCTCTGACACTGTCCCCACTTCTGGCACAGGGGCAGACTTGGCATGGCTGAGAACAGCGAGGAAAGCAACTCTTTCCAGCCAAGGAAAAACTTTGGCATAACCTAACTTCATATAAGCCCATGTCTCTCATTTCTATTTTCTTTCTAGTACTTCAAAATTATTCCCTGTTTATGTTGAATTTTTGTACATTTAATTTTTAAGCTTTGAACTAAAAAGGACAGATTACATGTGAGCTCCAGACATGCAAAATACTGTAATGAAGGGAGTCACAGTCTGTAGAGAGCAGTGTTTTCTGCCCAACAAACCTAATCTTTGAGGTGCATTTCCTCAGTGAGATTAGCCTCTGTGTGTTGGAGCAGACACCTGCCAGCAGGGCTCCACACTCCCCTGGATACACTGGGCAGGGCTTTAGGGAGCCAGCTCCAAAAGGCTGAACTGATTTAGGAAAGGTGAGACACTGTGTGAGCATTAAAAATATACACAGCTACTTCCCTTAGCAAGGGACTGTGCTCATAATTGCCTCATCCTCCCTGGACTATGAGAGAAACAATCCCTCATCATGTAAACATCTGGAACTCCCTTATTTTTCTCTGTCCAACCACAACAGCTTTGTGTTGACATTAGAAATTCAAGGAAACATTTGGGTCTTCATACCTTTGGTTTGTAAACTGTCAGGTGCTTTTCAACACCTCCAGACTTCAGTACTTTGCAGAATTAGAACCAGAAGCAAGTTTCAAATGGTACCTTTGCCACGTTAAATCTCTGAGAGTGATTATTCACTGCATCAATTTACCTGTCAAAAGTATGTGCTCGTGAAAAGCGCCTTCCAAGACAGCAACTGAAGGAACTTCTAAAACAAAAGTACTTCCATCTGCTTATGAAACAACACTGAAATATGCAGCCTGCTGCTCTGCACGAGACTGTTTCCTGTGTATTGGCCATAAGAAAGCTATTCATCCTGTGTTTCTGATGGAGATGTGGTTATTGAGCCTTTGAACTGCAAATACTTTACACTCATGCTCCCTTCACATGCAACACCACGCTATCCTTTAAACTTGCACTTTAAAGAGCTGTTTCCAAGTATAATATTTAAGTCAGCTATTTGGGAAATTTAAAACTGCTCACACTGGAGTGCGTAATGGTCTTCAGGGAGTTAAGTTTGAAGACGGGGCTCAGTGCTGCAGGGAGAAAACCCCTGAAATGTGTACCTCTCCCTCACAGGCTGCTCTGCTCTGGATCCGTGCAGGCTCTCACCTCCTGGGGTTAAGCCATGCCCATTAACAGGAGGTTTTGTATTTTAGTGTGTCGAGTCACAGCTGAAGGTGTGACCTGCAGCATTAACACCTGAGCTCCTGCAGGACCATGAGCTCCTTTGGTGAGTCAGCAACCTCTGAACAAGAAGTGGAAATTGAGAGCTGCCACAAATGCAGACTCACAACTGTCAATAACCTCGTGTGGGGACCCAGCACCTCCAAAACCAGTCAGATGTGGTTTTGCAAGATGAAATGTGAAATATGCCTTAGCTGTAAAACTTTTGCTCTCCAGTCAGCATTGGTTTGAGCTTACTTGTGGTTAAGACATGGATCTCCAATTTCCTGGTCACACAGAGGGCCCGTCCAGCCGGGGTGACATTCACAAATCACACTGGTTTTCTCCAGGGAGCGGCAGATCCCGTGCTTGCAGATGTTACAGGATTTGCAGCCAGGAAGGACTCCCAGGGACTGCTGGGGTAAATCCTTGAAATCCTGCAGCTCGTTGTTGATCCTGACATCGTGAATGCAGCCATGAAAACCATTTGGTGTCTTGTCTGCACCCTGGCGCAGGGATGATAATCCAGTGGAGGTTGGGATCCCTTCAGATAAAAGGAAAAAGGGAAGGTTCAATTACAGTTACAATTATAAATTATGATGGTAATTTATATAATTTTATATATATAATATAATAGATAAAACAATATATATAATATATAAAATAATATAAATTATATCTATTTATATATAATTATAATTATACTTGTAATTTATATATAATGTACATTTTATATATTTATAAATTATATAAATTATAAGTTATAATTGCTAAAGCTTCTTTTGTCACAGCCCCTTAAAATCTTTGAATAACTAATTTGCATAGGACCTTTGTAAGGTAGCACCATCTCCCTGTCCTCATTCTGGAAATGGAAAGGAAAAAAAATAAACTCACTTGCCCATTCTTCTGTAAGAGGTACATGACCCCCCCCCAAAAAAAAAGAAGAAGAAAAACCAAACTATTTTTTTTGCCTGGTGGCTATGTGTTCCTATCCTTAGATAATGTTCCTTCTCTCTACAGTTTAATAGCAATTATTCTTCTGAAAGGTTTGAGAATGCCTTCATTTGTCAGCAGGTAGCATCCACCTCTGGGATGCAACAAGACAGTTTGGCTTTACTGGGTCACAGTGTTAAGAGAGGGAGTGCTAAGAGTGCATCCCCTGGAAATTAGTGCAGGAGAGCTCTAAAGACAGGGAACAGCACTTCAAGGGCCAGGCCAAGGCTTTGTGGTGAGCCCCTCCTATCTTGTTCAAGTGCTTGGAAGAGTTCACATGGTTGGTTCACCAGCAGGTTCCTTTGGATGTTGTTTTGTGCCTTCCCCACTGATGCCAGCTTGGATGTACAGCTGCATTAGCACAGGCAAGTGCTTCCTTCTTCAGCCATGTGAGGCCTCTGAACTCACAGTCTGTAAGCAATGCCACTGTTAAAGGTGCTCCTAAAACAAATCCAGCACCTGTTTCACTGTGTGTTAGGAGGAAAGTTGCTAGAACAGGTGATGTGGTTGTGAGATGGACAAAACTCTGGGCAGCTGAAGGTTCAGGTCTGTGTTAACCTTACTGTAGGTCAGGAACAATTGCTCTGGGGTAATTCAGGCAGCTACTTTGGCTAAACCACCTGCAGAGGAAGGGCAGCTGGCTCCATGGGAGGGCTGCACACAAAGAGGTGGCACATGAAGAACAGGAAGGGTTTAGAAAGAAGCAAAAAGAATTTTAATAGGCAACAGCAAAAGTCTTTACTGAGGCCAGGGATCCTGGTATCCAACCAGACTTCAGGTTTTTCCTGAGAATTTTTAGGTACCTTTGGAGAATTAGTATTGATCCACAATGCTCATCCATTAGCAAAACTTTTCCACAGGATTAGTTCCCAAGTCTCCTGTGTATAAACTGCTGCAGGATTGTGCTGTGCTAAAGGGAGGAATTGAGATGGCCTCTGCACCAGTAGATTATCTTTGATGCACAATACTCTTTAATAGCCTGTGACATTCTTAATAGGAGCCAATTATAAAAGTTCAGCTCTGTACAAAGCAAGATCAGCCAGTTTTCTGTTTTACAAGGGCAATATTCAGGGTTCTTTTAAAAAAGTGTTATTAAAGAAAATTATTTAGAAAAGCCTTGACCAGCATCAACTGAATTTGGTAAGAGTTTCTACTATTGGCTTCAATTATCTCATTAGAAAAGGCTCAAAGACTTCCTATTACCATTCTGCTGACTTTTGTATTTGAAATAGGCTGACTAAATTCAAGAACTCTGTGTCACTGAGAGAGAGATTTCAACATTCAGTCCAGAACAGAACTAGGGGGGTTCTGGCAAAAACAATCCATTGGGCAGAGACCAGCCTTTGTTCTGTCTCTTGTAACCAGACACCTAATCAGTGGTATAGTCATTATTCTGGGCATTGTTCCCCATCCCATTTGGCCTTTTCCCTCCAGATTCAGTACTTAATGGGAAAAAAATTTCTTAACTGAGGTTTGGGCAATTCTAATATCTGTCTAAAACTGTGGCTTCAGTTTCCAATGAGAAGACTATTAACCAAGGTGTTCTTAGCTTGTGTGTTAATATGTTTTTGAATCACACACCTTTTTCCCCACAATTTTTAGACCTCTCTAATAAAACTTCCACCAGAAATACTGCTCAGTTATGGTATATTTAAACCTACTGACTACTGATTTGCTTTTTTGCCATGCCAATTTGTGATACTCCTACTGACACTTCCACTTCAGCCACCACAGCTTGGTGCCAGCCAGTTCTGGGAGCTGCTGAAACACCAAGCAGGCTGTTCCTGTGGGGGCTGTGTGAGAGCCCTCTCCACAGGATGGAAGATGCTTTGCTTCTGAGAAAACATGTTAAAACTTCAATTCTAGAACAACTCACAGTACCTCCAATGTAGAGGGGTGTGTTGAGGCTGACAGAAGACTGCTTCTGGAGCTTTCCCAGACTCTTGGGAGCCCCCTTGTCCACCACCAGGTTCAGAGTTTGATTCAGCATCACGAGTTCCACACTATGAAACTGCCCATCATTTATTGTTTCCACACTAAAAAGTAAGAGAAAAAGAAAATAATTAGAAGATGAACAAGGAGCAGCCTCTGCCTCAGTGACATCCTGTGTCCCTGTGGTGGTAGCACAGCACAGCTCTGGGGTGCTCTGGAGCTTTCAATCAGGGTGTTCTCAGCATTTCCTCCAGCAGGGAGGCACACACTGACCCTCAGCTGATCCTGGGCAGGCAGCACTGACACATGTGCAATGCTTCAGAGGCCAGCTAATCAGGAGAGCAGCCACTCCAGTTGCTTTTTCCAGGGCAGAAAAGCAAGAGTGTAGCTACAAGATACACTGGCTTTGGGGACAAAACTACCACAAAATCCCATTCTGAGCTCTCAGCCACGGCTTGCTGCCCTCTGTCACACTGCTTGGTGCTCATGCTGCAGGCTGGATCCTGAAATAATTTCTTCTCTTAGGGATAGTTTAAACTCAAATGATCTCACAGGGGTCAGGAGAGAAACCAGCATCTCGTCACAGCACAAGTGTCTTGGAACTGTGTATCAAGGAATAAGGACAGACTGAGGTTCTCAAAGCCAGAGAAGGAATTCAGGAAGTTTTGGCTTATAAATGACCACTGTGCTTTGTTCAATATCAGACAATCCCACCTGAACACAAGGAAAAATGACAAATTGCTACTCCTTTAGGGAAACATTAAGGTGTAGATTGAAGCTTGAGGATAAAACAGCAGGAGTTGTTGGGTGGTGGGGCAGGGAGCAGGCAGCCATCTGAGCAGATAAGATGGTAAAGTAGTGTGTATTTATTGCTTTGTTTATAGCACTGAGTTTTCAGATGCATGAAGCCTGCAGCAAGCTCCTAGTCTGCACCTCACACAATCTTCACCTTCATCTCCTGTTCACTCCCCCAGCCATTAAAAGGTGCAGTGATAGAATTCCATTTGCATCATGCTATCATATTTTTATTTTCAGGGCAGCTTCAGCTCTCTACCCTTAGTGCTGCATGGTGAAATTCCCTAAAACAACCCCAGGGTTTCATGCACTCTGCAGGCAGGCAGGGGCAAGGGTGGGATTACCTGCTCTTGAGCAAAGAGTTTCCAATCAGGGTGGTAGTTAGATCTGATGGGATTTTCCCACTGCTGTAGGTGTAATTAAAAGGCACAGTATCTCATGTGCACTCAGATGCACACAGGAACACAGTCAGAATGTGATAACAGGAGTGGTTGTTCTGGAATCAGCCTGTGGGCTCTGTGAATTGCCCACATGCACAGATGCCCTTTCCCAGATTCCTCCCTTCAGGCTGGGGCTGCTGTTATGTGTGGATAATGACAGAACACACCAGCTTTGGGCATCCTGAGACACTGCCTGGACAACAGCCTGGATTGGGGATTGCTGCACATGTGGTGCACACCACAGCACAGCATCAAAGTTTGGGCTTCTGCTCATTCCAAAGGCCCAGCATCCTTTCACAGGAGGTGAAAAATTCACAGGTCAGGTTCCTTTCAGGTGATTTGTAAATTTGCAAGGTGAATGTCTCTGAGCTATTTACCCACACTTTCTTCACAGGCAGTGGAGAGGAAGAGACACACTCATCTCTGAGGGTGAATCACATTTTAGATGTGACCAGCTCTCAGCCTAGATGAGATGCTGCCCATCCTTAGTGCCCAGCCCTGCAGAGCTGATGTGTAAGGCTATTGCAGCAAGGAAATAGGGCCTCAACTTCACAAACAAATTACATGCCTTGGAGATTACTGGAATTCAGCTGTTGCTGGAAGAAGTTTCATTTTTATAGTGTTTTATGGTAGACCTGACACAAGCAATTGTACTTGAGCAATGTCAGGCAGCCAGTCAGCACTGCAGGCATTTCTGGGAATGTGCTGGTGGAGAAGAGCACACTGGGGCTGATGTGCCTCTGCAGGGCTGCTCTGCTCTCCCCACAGGTTTTTGGGATGAATCACCAACACACAGGCCTTCAAAAGGTCATGTAAGGTTACACAGGTCATAAGGTAACAGAGATCAGTGAATGAGCACCTTTACAGTGTGGCTTTATATCAATAAGTGAGATAGTTCTGCCACAGAAAGGTTCCCAGGAGAGCTCTGCTGGCTCAATCACACATTCCTGACCTGCTTTACATAAATGAGATGGTTCTGCCACAGAAAGGTTCCCAGGAAAGCTCTGCTGGCACAATCACTCATTCCTGACCTGCAGGGAAGCCCTGGGCTGTGGCTGCTGCCCATGGGCAAGATGGTGACAGAGCCCTGGGGAGAACTCAAGAACCTGGAGCTGATGCTACAGTTCAAAGTGTTTTAAAGAAAACACATAAAGGCTTGACAGTGAACAAAAATGCAGATCCAGCTGGTCCAGCAGACACTCTGGGTCAGAGCTGTTATAGCAGGGCCCTGGCAGGGCTGTGTGGGGCAGGGTAAGAGGCAGAGGATGTGCTGGACTCCCTGCCCAAGGGGCTGAGCCTGTGGCTCTGGGAAGGGCAGGACTGTCCCCACTGCACCCCAGGGCACTGCAGCAACTCAAGTGAGTTTGGAAACAGCTGCTCTGAACTTTGTGTTTGGATACTCAGGAATTCTGCTAAGTGTCTGCTGCGTTACAAGGAGCAGCTGTGCTACAGCAAGGCCGACTGGGTGATCCCTCTGTGCTCCCTGCTTATCTCAGTGCTCTCTGCAGTGCCTGATTCCCGGGGGGAAGCACTTGGACTTCAGCTGGAAGGTGTGAGATAAATGGAAATGCACATGTGTAATTGTCAGTCTGTGCAGAAGTGCCAGTGAAAGGGAGAAGTGGAGCCAAAGCCCACGGGCTGTGAGAGCTGAGCACTGTGGAGGTGGGAGGGATGGCTGCAGGATAGGGAGCCCTTCCCCAGCAGGATCAATAGCTGGAGCTAGCACACAAACCCCATGGTTATCTGCAGAAGGCCAAGCTACGGCCATTTGTCAGAGGACAACATTATCACATCTGGCAGGACTGGCTCTTCCCAGAGCCAGGATTTCACAGGCATTCATCACCTACTCTCCACAGGGTGTGCTTTGTCCAGATTATGCCTTGACTAGCAGGCAAACAAAGATCTGTGAGTCCTGGGGATGGAAGCAGCCACCCCACATGGTGCTCATGCCTTTCAGCATACCCAGTGCTGGTACTTTTTGTTGGAAAGGGAGTGAGAGGTCCCAGTCTACAGGAATACGTGGATGAGCATTACTCTGTTCTGATTCCTTCACTTTTTAACCCGGAATCAAAATAATCTTTGCCTGAACTTGGAGAAACAAAGTAACTCACAGCCATCACCCAACACTGCAGTTTTGTAAAGCAGATAAAGTTAGAACAGGCAAAGCACTCATTTGCTGTTTGAGAAGACACAGAGATATGATAGAGAAGCTGAACGTGGACAGGCAGGATGACAGGAAATCCCCAGCCAGCAGAGCCTCGTGTGAGAGAGAGCACGCACTTAGTGCCGTGCTGACGGAAAGGCATTCAGGCGCCTTGGGGTTCTGAGATGGAGACAACCGCGGGGGAGAGACCAGTGCTGAGAGAAAAGCGGCACGAACTCTCCTCAGAGCCTCTTGTGCAGCCCAGCCGGGCCTTTAGGAGCCCCGGCAATCGTCGGAGACAGCTGGAGACAGTGGCTTGGCCGGGGATGAAGGGCGGCGGCCGCAGCGCCGAGCAGCGCACGCTGCGCTCTGCGCCAGCCCCGCCGCCCCCGTTAAAGGGTCCCGTTAAAACCCCCCGTGAATTCCCTATTCCCTGAAATAGGGCCTCAGGTGCTCCCACAGGGCGCTTCCTTCTGGAGCTGCCCGCGGGATGGAGGTACCCGCCTCCAGCCAGTCGGGATTGATGGAGATCTTCGGGCAAACCCCGCTCCGAGCGCGGCGGGGGCAGGCCGGGAATGCGGGGTATGGGAAAGAGGGATGGGAGCCGGGACTGCGGGATATGGGCAGGGAAAACGGGATGGGAGCCCGGACTGCGGGATATGGGCAGGGAGTGCGGGGTGAGAGCGGGGAATGCGGGATACAGACCGGGAGTGCGGGATACGAGCAAGGAAAGAGGGATGAGAGCGGGGAAGGCGGGCCGGGAATGCGGGGTGATAGGAGAGAAAACGGGATGAGAGCTGGGAATGTGGGATACGGGCCAGGAACAGGACGAGAACCGGGAATGCGGGATGAGAGTCAGGAATGCGGGATTCTGGCCGGGAATTCAGGGTCAGAGCCGAAATGCGGGATGAGAGCCGGGAATGAGGGATGAGAGTCAGGAATGCGGGATACTGGCCGGGAATTCAGGGTGAGAACCGAAATGCGGGATGAGAGCCGGGAATGCGGGATACTGGAATTCAGGGTGAGAGCCGAAATGCGGGATAAGAGCCGGGAATGCGGGATACTGGAATTCAGGGTGAGAGCCGAAATGCGGGATAAGAGCCGGGAATGCGGGATACTGGAATTCAGGGTGAGAGCCGGGAATGCGGGATATTGGCTGGGAATTCAGGAAGAGAGCCGGAATGCGGGACGAGAGAGGGGAGCGCGGTGCAGCGGCGCGGACGGGCAGCAGAGGGCGCCGTGGCACCGTGAGCCGAGCAGGGACAGCGCCGGCCCCGCTCCCGGGCCTGATCCCGGCCCCGTTCCCTGCTCCCGCTCCCGGGCCTGATGCTGCTCCCGGCCCCGTTCCCTGCTCCCGATCCCGCTCCCGGGCCTGATCCCGGCCCCGCTCCCTGCTCCTGATCCCGCTCCCGGGCCTGATGCTGCTCCCGGCTCCGATCCCGGTTCCTGATCCCGCTCCCGCTCCAGCTCCCGGCCCCGCTCCGCGTCCCGGTTAAACCAAATCAAGCGGTGCGAGCACAAGGAGGGACATCCTTGAAAGGTGCGGCAGGAAGAGCCCCAGGGCCGTGCAACAGTCAGGGAATTTTAGCTGGCTTCCAGCCGCAGCACTTCGTGCCACTGCCATTGGATGTTGTATAGTTTTGTATAAATTCTTGTTGAAAAAAAGTGAGGAATTATGATTAAAGAGTAAACACTTAAAGTGTAAGCAAGGACTTCCAGGAATTTA